CTGTTCATATTGAAAGTTGCTTTATTGCACCATTTTTAATTTGGAACATTAACTGAATGCTCGTACACAGTTAAATAAATAGAAAGAGTTCTGTGGAGACTTGGCTGTTACCGCTTCTCTTTGTGCAGCGTTAGATCAGCCTGGGCGGGGAGCGCTGTGCTTCTGGCGAGGGCAGACCCCAGCACAGACGTTTACTGCAGGGTAACACAGCAGTGCAGAGGTTTTAAGCGACATAATTTACCAGTTACGAGCATATTTAGACTGTGGCCAATACATGCTGTATTTCTTTATAGAATAAATGGTTTCTCAGTTAAGTTCTAAGGATTAGAAAAAAATGGATATAGAAAAATCTTAGTATAGTAGAAAAACATCTGTCTGTAATTAAACTAGTTGAGGATGGAAAAATGCCTATTTTTACTAATGATCAGATGGCTGTGATCAGTTTTTCCCCCCCGTTTTAATCAGAATTTCTCTTTACCAAGCTAATATGCCTGGTTTTATTTATGTCGTTATTCTTCCTCTCCAGTTTTGAAATCTTTATAGGTCTGGCCATTTATATATATATCTGCCCTTTAGGTTTCAAACTAAATTATAGATTGCAAATATTGAATTATGATTTAACTACATCTGCCTTAGCTTAGAACTTCTGATTACACTCTTGTTTATTCAGCTAGTGCCAAATATTGATCATCAGATGCTGAATTAAGAATAAAAATTTGAAATCTACATGCTCAGTGGTTAACTCAGAGCTTCTGGTTAATGTGTGTCCTTCAGTTGAGTCCACTATGGTCTCCTCCATTCATTAAACTGATTCCAGGAGATGACATTTGTTGAGAATAGATAGAGATAGAACAAATGTCAGAATAGGACAATGGAGGTGATACTATTAAAGGGAGGAACACCAGGGGGACAAAGTACAGTGTCAGGAATTTCCCCCACTAAATTCATTGGGGAATGAGATTTGGGAAGAATTTTTTTTTTTTACTTTCATTTAACTTTTTTCCCTCCTTTTAATGTTAACTATTGATGGAATTTCTGGTGGGTTGTGGGTGGGATACGGTGAAGCGCCTCACACAGGGTGGGCCATAGAGTGTCTGTGTTTCAGATTGGTTTTAAAGGCTGTCCTGCTGCAAGCCCTTCTGCTTTCTTATCTAGCATTTCTTTCTGTGGCAAACTTTTCTCTTTTTAAAGTAAACTTGTGTTCTGAGTCTTAAATGTATTTCAGTATTTTTCGGCCTTACGTGTTACATTATTCCAATGATACCCAGCAGTTTATTTTTATTGTTGTTATTTTTTTTAAACAAAGTATAGTTCTGTAATGTAGGCACTTTTATTTTCTTCGCGATTTATATATAACGTAGGGTTATATTTGGGAGTGACTGCAAGCATTTTTCCATCTGTGTGCAACTGGCTGTGATGAATCCCCTTTCTTACCTGTCCCAGGTAATTTAAATTGGTCATGGTAGGTTTTTTTTATAGATTGGAAAAGCATTTAGGTTGTTACTAAGTTTGGAGTATAAATCTGAGGAAGAGCTTCTATTACAGTTTAGTGTGAGATAGAAAGCACTTTGTTAGAAATTTTTTAATTTCTGAAATAATCAATATTAAATGAGTTTTCTGATCTGTACTTACCTTTGTGTCTAGGTAACCTTTTTATATTTTAAATATTAAAAATAAAAATTATGTTCTTATTAGCTTAAAGCTTGATTTGATCTTTGTTCAAATGCCAAAAATGTACTTAAGTGAGTTATTTAGAATGCCATAAAATCGCACAATTTCATATATGTATATAATCATGTTAATGTATATTTAGATACATATAATGCATTCTAAATGAGTTTTACTCCTAAATCATTTGGCTTGCTGTTTACTCCCTTTTGTAGTTTTTAATCTAAAAAATTTAAGATAAGTCTAAATTTAAAAATGGTCATATTAAAGCTCTATCTTTGTGCAATCTAAGTATATGTGGGAAATCACAATTGGCGTAAATTGTCTTAGTTAATATTCAGGGCTTTAGAAGTCATTATTTCTGGACTTGGTAAGTGAATTTATGAGACTTAATGCTCTAGAAAGTATAGATGGCCAAAGGACCATTTTGTATCGTTTCCTGGTTACCAGTCTGATTATACTATGTGTGCTAATATACTCTATTCTTTTTGTCATAGATTGTCTTAATGGTAGGTCAAGTAATAAAAAGAAATGAAATAATTTGAATTCTTAAATGAATCAGTTTTTCTTCCCTTTCCCTTTTTCTTGCCTTCTTCCTCCTCCTCCTTTCCTTCCCTGAAAAGTCTATTCTGGTTGGCAAGAATGAAATAAAGTGAACTGTAAGATCAGTGTTTTTAAAAAGTATGCTTATATTCAGTGCTTTCTTGTTTAGTTTGTCAAAGAATGGATTTCTCTTTTTTTTTTTTGCTATAGGGCACGTGCACTCGCTAGAAAGAGACAGAGAGATAGAAAGCGAGAAATTCCTCCCCCCCGGGGGGGATGGCCATACTGCAGTCCCTTCTCCTCTGTTTTCCTCTTGGGATCTTGGACATGCATGCACAGGTGCCTGGCGTGGATTTAAGCCACTGGGTCCAAGACTCGAACTGCAGTTTACTACATGGGAGTCCAACGACATAGCCATTATGCCAACTGCTGTTCCCAAAGAATGGATCTTAAAACCTGCTTAAAGGGTTGTGGAAATGTAGCAGATTCTTTATCCAGTCATGGAAGGAGAAGATTCAGTCAAAAGCCATAGATTTCATTTTTATTGAAGATAGATTGTTACTGTGGAATTTTACCAGATTTAATGGGAAAAGATTTCTGAATAGCATACTGTTGTTTAATATGTGCATTTGGCTGCATAGGGATGCTTTTAGATTTTGTATGTGTATGAAGCCTTATTTCTGAGAGTGAGGTGATTAAGTTGTACTCATTACATCCAGTGGCGTTAGAGATGGGTAGTATGCTTGAAGAATGTTCTTTAAGTTGCGCTGCTTTGTGATATAACACTTGGATCTTGTCCTGGTCAGTAATTCTTTCCCCCAGACCACTGCCATTGAGATGCCGTGTAACTAAAAAATTGTCCTGGGTTCATTGTCCTCGTTATGGTTTAATTCTCGCTCTACAACAGTGGCCTTTGTAGATTCGTTTTTTGATGACAAAAAGACATTTTAAAACTAACGTAGCATGATGTCAGTTTTTTCAATACTGCCATATCTCCAACCACAAAGTAATAGCTTTTTGTACCCTCGTTTAGGCCCTGGCAGTGCACTTTATTTTTTAAGTTTTCGCCATAGGGTGAGTGCACTCACCAGAGAGAGACAGTGAGAGGAAATCAACACACCCCCCTCCCCCCGGGCTGATGGCCACACCACAGTCCCTTCTTCACTCTACTTGGATTTGGAGCATGTATGCACATGCACCTGGCATGATTTTATTTTTTTCTTTTCCTTGTTTTTTAAATAGGTTTTTGCCTGAGGTTATGTGTGCTCACCCCAAAGAAAGAGACAATGAGACAGAAAGTGAGAAGTCACTCATTTTGTGATTGTGGGGATGGCCACACCACAATCCCTTCTCCATTCTTGCCCCAGGATCTTGGGGACACACACATAATTCCAGCATGAGTTTCAAGCCATCGGGTCTGGGTCAGCTACGTGAGAGTCCAGTGATGTAACCCATACCATCTGCTGGCCCCATCACCTGGCATGATTTTTCAAACTACTGGGTCTGGGACTCGAACATCAGTTGACCATATGGGAGACTAGTGACTTAACCACCATGCCACCTGCTGGCCTGCAATGGGCTAAAACAACATCAAGGAGCAATGGCTAGATAATCATTTAATGTCTTTCCAAAGAGATCATAGTAGCTACTAGTAAAGGCTAGAGCTGTATGAATTTAGAAAGGGGAATCTTTTTATTACTGCCATGGGATTTTTACATAGAAACCATCACTGTGTACAGATACACTTAAAATATGTGTCTTGACATAAGTTCAGAGCTGTGACTTCATCCTGACTCCACCTAAAATCAAAGAACCAAGGAGTATGATTTTTCATTTTGTGAAAGACAAGTTCTATCAAGTTTGCTTAAGTAGCATTGTGATTTTAAAAGTCTCCACTAGATGGAGAACTTATTGTCATTTTTGTTCATCTCAAATGAGTTAAAAGATGATCCTCGTTTATGTATTCTGTATTTGCAAAGTTGCCAACTTGCTGAAATTTATTTGTAATTCCAGAGTCAGTACTGGTGGATGTGAACACAGTGCTAAGAAATTTCAGTTGCCCAATGCACATGTTCCCAAGCTGAGGTCATATGAGGGCATGCTCAGCTCAGTAAGTGTCCTCTCAGGTCTTTTTAGTATTGCATCATTTGCATTTCTATGCTTTCTGTTGATGGTTTCATTATATAAAATTCCCCCCCATGGGTTGATGGCGAGTGTTCCTAAGTGCAAGAAGAAAATGCACATATTTCCAACATTTTGAAGACCCTTCCTTTTAGCTAAGCTTTGTTCAGATGTGAGTTTGGTGCTGCTGGCCCTAGTGCAATGTGAATGGATCAATAGTTTGTATTAAAGAAGGTTTCTTTAATATGCACACCACACATGGAAGAAGATTATGTATCGACTGGTTGACGCACTTGAACAGAAAGTCCCAGGAACCTTCACCCTGTAACTCAGGAGCGGTGGTTCTGCGTTCATCAGTTCCGTGTCTGTGGTAGCTTACTGAACCAGAAATTGCCATGAGCAGGAGAATTGACTATTTTTTGCTGTCTTCAAGCTCAGATTGTTCTTTTGACTTTCAGGAAGGCTAGAGTGGATTCTTCTACACCCCACCTTTCACCACGTCACATACTTTACAGTTCACTTTCATTCTTTTAGTTTGCCATGAGTAGTAACATGAACAGCTTTTGTGTAGAGTCAGAATTTTTATTTCATGGGAAGTTAAAAATGAACAAGTTGGAAGAACCTGATGGATCTAAGAATTGATTCTTTGATGGTAGTGTTGACAAATGATACTAGCCAAAGAATAATGGGATGTTAAAGGTAAGTGAGTAAGGTACATAGGTACTCTACAGATGCCGGTCAAATTCAACTCTATTTGGGTTTGTAAAGGATGGCAAAATTACTGTAGACTGTGAAAAACCAATCCATTGTAGAAGTGGCTGGGTTTGAGATAAAGCTGTAGCTTACCCTCTTGACCTGATTTAAAGTCCCAAACTGTTCTGTGCTATTCTTCGTATGTCTTTGCACAGGATTGGATGCCTGTGTGTTGACTCCTGTGTGCATAAAGTGCCTCATGCATGCTGAGACCTCAGTGAAGGGAGATACAGTTTCAGGGGCAATACTGTGCCAACCAGGGTGGGTCAGAGGTATCCATTGTTTGTCCCATCAGGGCTGGCTTTGGACTCAAGACACAAGTCTGGGATGGCATGTCTACAATACTTCTCGTACTCTTCAATGACAGCTCCTTTCTGCTCCCCTCACACTTGTAGTATTTGTGCCAGAATCTGATCTGATATAATCCATCCTTTTTACTTGTTGACCAACTGTAATCACTCCAAAGAATGAATGTGTTCCTGCCATTTGTATTTTCAGCCATCATGGGATTAGAAGTGAAGCCTTCTATTAAAGGCATTTCATATCTTTTTTTTTTTTTTGGAGAGGTTTTCACTATAGGGCACATGCGCTCGCCAGACAGAGAGAGACATAGAGACAGAAAGCGAGAAATCACCCCCCAGGGGGGATGGTCATGCTGCAATGCCTTCTCCTCCATTCTCCTCTCAGGATCTTGGGCACGCACGCACACGTGCCCGGCGTGAGTTTTAAGCCACCGGGTCTGGGACGCGAACCGCGGTCGACTACATGGGAGTCCAGTGACATAGCCATTACGCTAACTGCTGGTTCCCTATTAAAGGCATTTCAGATGTCAACAAGTCAGCAGGGAGAAGTCAGAGACAGGGGACCCCCTACTTTTCTTGATTTTAAGGAAGTCTTGAAAAACTGATTTAGTCTTTTTCAAGCCAGCAGCTGAGGGAAGCCCCCTATTCCTCTGTGGATGGGTGGGGGATAGTTCTGGGATTTGATGGCAGGAGGATTATGGTTAGGGACTGAAATAGCTCTGACTCTTTCTGCCTCTGCAGGCTCCCGTACCTGTTCCCTTGCTGTCTGTCTGGGAGACCTCCCTTGTTTCCCCATCAGCAGATGTCTTCTGTTGTTGATTGCTAATTTTGAGCTATTTGATGTTATTTCAGTTGATAGTTAATACCCTTCAGTATGAAATACCCCTGGTATTTTGAGCAGATCTTCCTCTTGTAATAGTAGTTCTGAAAAGTTACTCTAGGAAGTCATTAGGGATTATTGTATTCAGATTGGGCAGTGACTAGACTACAAGTAGAAAGTAGAAAGCCTTTTTTTTTTCTTTTTAATTTAAAGAATCATTTAACTTACTTTCTCTCTCTCTCTCTCTCTCTCTCTTCTTTCCTTTAATTTGACCAGAGAGGGACAGAGTGAAAGTGAGAAAGCAAGCTGCCAGGTCCGGGACTTGAACTGTGGTCGGCCATGTGGGAGTCCAGCGCCCTTAACCAACACACCACTGCCTGCCCCAGAAAGTGTAAAGTCTAATTTGAACCAGTTTGCTCAACACTTACAGACTTTTTAAAAAATATCTTTAAAGTTTGCTATAGAGTATGTATGCTTCTCGGAGAGGGCGGGGAGAGAGAGTGAAAAATCATCCCCTACGGGGGTTGACCACACCACAGCTTCCTTCTCCATTCTCCTTGGGATTTGGGGCACATGTATGCACATGTACCCAGCATCATTTTCAAGCTGCCTGGTCTGAGACTCGAGCTACGTAGTTGGCCATGTGGGGTCCAGCCGCCCTAATCTCCACACCACCTGCTGACCCATTGCAGACTTTTTAATTTTTTTAGAGGTTTTTGCTACAGGGCGTGTGCGCTCGCCAGACAGACAAAGAGAGACAGACAGACAGAAAGCGAGAAATCACCCCCCAGAGGGGATGGCCACACCACAATCCCTTCTCCATTCTCCTCTTGGGATCTTGGGCACGCACGCACACATGCCCGGCGTGAGTTTATGCCACCAGGTCCAGGACTCAAACCGTGTTCGACTACATGGGAGTCCAGCGACATAGCCATTACGCTAACTGGTGGCCCTCCCATTGCAGATTTTTAATCTGCTTTGATATGCCCAATTTTTTATATCTGGACCAGGATTTTTTTTTTTCTTGTAGCTACAGTAAGGATCTGGAGGACAGCTGGGTATCCACTCGATGTCCTTTTATTTGATCTGTTACAGTGAATACTCTCTCCTGGGGACAGGGCTTCCAAACCTCCACGCCAGACCCAAGTACAGATTGCTCAGTGAGTTCAGAAGGTAGTCCGTGGCCTTGATGGAGCCAGTGCTTTCGGGGAAAGTTGGAGTCAAGGCACTTCCCTATAAAAACAACGCACCAAGGAGTAAAGGTCATGTTCAGAAAATGCTTGCTGTTTCAGAAAAGGTTCCACCTCATTCCTGAGCTCCAGACTCGACCCCTTGCATTACCAGCTGGAGTGAGGAAGCCGTCCTCTGCACTTGGGAGGCTACTGCTGGCTCCAGTGCTTTCGGTGAAGTTGACTCTTCCCATCTTCAGTTTGTCAGGTTAACCTGGCCAGAGTCTGGGGCTGGTCTTTCTGCTGGGCCACTGGCGATGACACTCTGCTCCCCATGGGCCTCTATGCACCCCTCCACTGTCTGCAGGATGATGTGGAGCCTTCGGTCGAGGGCGAGGAGGTGGGGTTCTGTGAGGACGGGAGCAAGCTGGTCTCCTAGCAAGGACTCTCGCATCACGTCACTGAGCCTGTAGTCGGCCTGGGCCAGCAGCTGCAGGTGCAAAAGGGTTTTCTTTTTGATCCTGGAAAGGAAGTCACCGGAACCAAGTCAGCAAATGGAAAGCAGATAGCTCGTCTGAACTTCCTTCCCCACAAACAGCCGTGGCAGCTGTCCTTAGAGCCTTCTTCCCCAGTGTCGTCTTAAGCGTGTTTTAATGAAAATCAGATAAAAAGGGAGTGAATAGAAGATGACACCCAATATTTTGTAGTCCTTTGCCCAGTGATCTTTTGGTGTAGAGCCATTTATACTCTAATAATTGAAATGTAACACACAGATGCTGCGTCATAAGCATTTGCTCTGACATGGCTAAGGGAATCAAAATGGAAGTAACACTAGGGAGTTTTCAATGAGATTTGAAGCTCATGGGGCAAGTTTCTAGCAGGAGAAATGATGCCGTCTGCCACCTCACAAGCCTAGGTACTACCAGGCTTCACGTTGTTTCTTGCTAACTTGCACAATCTGTGCGTCAGATTCTAAAATCAGGGACAAAGTGGGAGTGGGACTAATCTTTAGGATTTTGATTTCATTTTAGGTGGGAATCTGCCTTGGACTCAGATGCATAAGCAGCTTAATTCTCCACTTTTGGTCACAAACAGCTGCTGCCTGTCCTGCTCAGGAGGGGGGAGGGGAGGCAGCAACGAGGGGAATGTGTTGAAATTAACCTGAAACGTTTAGGAGTATTCCTGCTCTGCTCTGAGCTTTCCAGTGGAAACAATGAGAGGGTTTTGCTAGGTGTGAATCACATATTTATAATTAGCTCTGGATACTGCAGCTGAGCAGGTGGACGGTTTTACAACCCAGGTTAAAACACCAGAGAAGTGTGGAAGTAGGTTGGGCATTCTCAAGGGAAATAATGGCCGGCCACAGGCTTTTGAGCCCCTTTCAATATGACATGGGTTTATGGGACTCTAATCAGGATTTTGCTTTGTTGGTGATCAGACAGTAATATTTATGAGCTTATATGAGTGCTGGGCAAAGCTGAGGTCTGATTAGTGATGCCAAAGACAGTTAGGCCCTGCGAAAGTAGGTGATTATCTGAGTGGGTTAAAGATTATAGTTGGTGATTGAAAGGTTTAAACGATTAGATTTTAGTTTATCTTATGCTGAAGGATGAGCACCTCTGAGAGGTTGCTGGGGGGAATTTGATATTTGTAGAAATGACGTAATTTGTGTCCTACCCACCCATGCCCTAAATCAGTGGACATTGATTCAGACCTTCAGAGCTTGGTTGCAAGCAGGGTGAAATGTCACAGCCGCTCCCTGCCCTTGTCAGCCCGTGTGCAAACTTACATGCAGCACTGGGAGAGAGGCGAGAGGATGGAGAGTTCGTCGTGGGAGTGTCGTCCAAACCTACGAGGAGAAACAGGCTCTCATGGGACCAGGTGGCATCTCGTGCACCCTCTTGATGCTTTCTCTCCTCTCTACCGTTTTGAATCAGCGGTCGGAGGTGAAATGCCAGCAATCATGGCAGCTGCCTCTGCAGCCCTGCTCGGTCTGTCACTGTCCAAAGCCTCTGTTCAAAGATGTCCAAATCAAGTAACTTTCTTCTTCCCTCCTTTTTCTTTTTTCCCCCCAACTACAGAGGGCCAGCCGTGGAGGACAAGCCTTGTTCTCTGCCCCAGGAATGTACCATCTAGTAACAAAATTACAGAAAACCTCAGCCTGTTTTGTTAGATAGCACACGTGTAGCTTCAGGCTGGAGAACAGAGTGGTGCTTAGCAAAGAGCAAGAGAGAGGAAGTGAGAAAAGTAGGTCGAGGAGTCGGGGCATGACGGGATCTGTGCTCCCTGAGCGGCTGTAGAGGGCCATGGCTGGGGCAGGGGTGCGTCGGGACTCCCGTGATAGCACTCACCCTCTCGCATTGTCAAGATGAATGAGGAACCCATCATCCCCAAATTTGGTGAACATCTCATAATGGTGACGGTCCATGTTTCCTGTAAAGGAGAAGTCAGAGCAGGGCTGGAGATGGAGGCCTGTTAGTTCAGTCAAAGCTGTCGTTTCCCCAGGGGCTTCTTGAGTCAGAGAGGGAAGCTCAAGTAAACCCCAAAAAGATGGTGTTCAGATGTAAGGCTTTCACCCGACCCCAGCTCCCAGCCCCCAGCCCCGGCCAGGGCTTCTGAAGCACAGGACGTGCCTCGCGCTCCTTTCTCTTGGCGTTGGCTGTTCTTAGCCAGGGGCCCTCAAGGAGGCCCAGGGCCTGGCTGGAGTAAACCGACGCCAGCCACTTCCTCCAGGGGATGGTAGTGAGTGTGTGGCTGACTCAGACCCAGTGCGTGCGTGATGGCACCTCGGCGCTGCTCTCCTCCCCAGCCTTGCCTGGTCTCCCTGGAAGACTGCAGGAGGAATTCCTAGTCTCCAGCCTCACAGTGGTTATGCATGTCCTCATCTTCCTACCTGGGCTCCCCTTACCAGATGAAGGGGTCACATAGCTTCAGATCCGTGGCCCACTTGGGCCCAGTGGCCTGATGGTAGGGTGCTGTGGTAGCCCCTTCCACTGGCCCCTGCCCTTTGAAGAGAGGGCTAAGTCGGTCATCTTGCCTCTCCGCCCCTTCTGAGGCTGTGGGAGGTGCAGGGCTGTCTGGCCTCCTGAGCCAGGCTGCAGAGTTTGGCCCAGCACCACAGCAGTCCCAGCCAAACAGGGAAGCCTGTGGCCCGCTGCCCAAGTGTAGGCCTACCAATTAAGAAGTCGAAGATGGCCATGTCGATGATGTTGAGGAGCCGGTTGCTGCTGTCATACGGGTAGATCTGCTTCACTGTGTCACAGTACAGGGGATTGAGCTCCCACCTGGGGGTGAGAAGAAGTCCTGGGGCTGGAAAAGCCAAGATGGCAAGGTGTCGCGGCCAGCCACCCCACATCCCTGCCTCCCTGATCATGCCCTGGCTGGGGCATCTTAGCATGCCCCCCGGGAGCTGGGTACATTCAGGAAGACCCGGGCAGGGAGGGACACATGGGGAGGAGGTTCTGGGACTTTTCTGCTGGGCACTGAACTGATGGTTAAAATCCCTCATACCATGGGGAGGTAGGGAGCAGGGTACATAGAGGCCAGGGCCCTCCTCACCTGCTGCTCGCCCAGCCGCGTGGCTCTTGTGCCACTCGCAGTCCCTCCCACGGGCCACTGTCATTGTGCTTTCACACGTGTTCTGCCTATGCTGTCCCTAGTGTCCCCTTTTATCTGGTGGGCTGTCCCTCTGCCTTCGTGAGTCCCCTAGGGCCTGTCACATCCTCCAGAAAGTCTTCCCTGGTTACCTCTTTCACCATGACTGTGCGGGCTGCCTGGTGGACCTCATTAGTCAGCTAATACGAGCACCTGCCACATGCCAGGCGGCACGCCAGGCTCTGGGGATGCAGGAGCGAGGACCTTGGCCTCGAGTCTTGCTCAAGGGAACCAGGTGTCCCTCCATGGCTCCCCGAGCATGTCTGTCACAGAAGCATCACACTGCGTTTCCGTCATCTAGCCACTTGTCCATCTGCCCATTAGACCAAGGAGCTTCTCAAGGGGACAGCCTGTGTCTTATTTCTGTATCCTCTAGCACCTAGTGTTGGGTACACAGTGGGCTCTTTATAACAGAAAGAATGAACTAAAGGGAGAGAATGACCCAGGCCTAGCTTGTCCCAAGATTGATATGAAAGAATTGAGGCAGCTTGTGGGGTTTAAAAGCCAGGCCAGTCACAGGTCCTTGGTGTAGGGGCCGTGGCCACTCGGACTGAACTGCAAGGTTGCGGGTGTGGCCTCATGGCCAGGGGCCAACTCACTCCTCTTTTCCTGCCAGCGAGTAGGAGCGAATCCAGGGGTTGGGCACAGACAGCCTGGGGGCCAGGTTGAGCGAGGGCAGGAAGGCGGAGAGGGAGCCTTCCAGCAAGTGTGGGTTGCCACAGACAGCGTACTCGGTCTTGCACATGTACGGACACTTGGCGAAGAAGCACACGTTGCTGGCTGGAGGGAGTGAGAGAGGGAGGGACAGAGGAGGCCGTGTGTGAGAGGAGGGCTTTGGAGGCATGCCTCGCTTGAGAAGGGGCAGAAGAGAAAGGAGACCTTGCCTTTCCAGCTGCAGGGCTGGTGAGTGCTATGAAACAGCATCTGGGGCACCAATTTTCAAATGTGTCAGCACAGAGAAAGGGTGGGGCCTGGCCTCCCTGCACCCTGTCCCAGTTACCCCTGGGTGGGTGACCTCGGTTCCAGGGAAGCCAGTGTTGTAGGTTCAGTGCCCCACAGGCCATCAGGCATGTCACATAACCTTTTCCCACCCCCGGTTCACCTTGTGTTATGCTCAAGCCACCCAGGGTGAGAGTGCCCAGCGACAGTGGAGACAGACGGCGCTATCAGCAGGGGCCAGGCCACTGCCTGACATGATGGGCACGCTGGCTCACCATGCACTGAGACCCAGAACATCTCTCCAGCTGGCCCTTACCTGGGGACACAAAGAAAACACTCTGCAGGATTTCATTCTTGGTGACCTCTAGGATTTCCTTGGTGACATTCACTAGCCTCCCCACTGTTGGGGGCACCCGTCGAAAGTCCAGAATTCTGAAAGAGAAGGAGCCCTGTTTGGATGGCGGGATATGGGGGGCCTGGGGAGGACAGCTCCGGACCCCGGCCTGTGCACGTTAGAAGCTGGCTGGGCTCCAGCGGGGAGGTTGGGCAGTGCTGAGCTGAGAGGGCTTGGGGCCAGGCGGGTGTAACGGGGTGAAGGACTGGAAAGGAACCCTTATTTCATCACACCTCCATTCCTGCCACCCCAGCTGTACTCTTGGTCAGTGCTTCTCAGACTGGAACGTGCACACGTGTCACCTGGTATACTGGTCAAGTGCAGGTTCACACTGAGGGGGTCACCGCGAGGCTGAGATTCTTCACATCTAAGAAGCTCCTGGGTGGAGCCCATAGACCACACTTTGCGTAGCAACAACTGAGAGTTGAGGGATGTGCTGCCCCTCCTAGTGGCATTACCATAGACTCCTGGGATGCATGGAGTGGGCACATGCCTCTCATTTTCAGATCAGGAAGCTGGAGCCAAGAGCAATCTCACCCCCAAGGTGGCAGCCCGAGCAGTGTTCCAGGGTTAGCTCTCTTTAAAAGTTATTCTCTCTCCTTTTTTTTTTTTTTTTAGAGATTTTTGCTATAGGGTGTGCACACTTACCGGAGAGACAGAGAGACGGAAAGCGAGAAATCACCTCCCCCAGGGGAAGTGGCCACGCCACAATCCCTTCTCCAGTCTCCTCTTGGGATTGTGGGCATGCACGCACACGTGCCCAGCGTGAGTTTTAAACCGCCTGATCTAGAACTCGAACTACAGTTGACTACATGGGAGTATAGAAACCATTACGCCCTCTGCTGGCCCCAGAACTTATTCTTTTCCTGACATTAGATGATGTGGTGCTTTCAATCCATGGGGTTGGAGGAGGTGGTGGGTTCAAGGGGCTCACACTGAGATATAAAGACAGTAAAAAGCCAGAAGGAAAAAAATGCCGGAACTTCCACCTGAAGATCTTTCTGGTGCCCCCTCCCAGGGACTGGCTCCTCCAGCGGGGGCCAGCTCCTACCTGTCCAGATGGAAGGCGGCGATCTCAGCATTGTGTCTCTGAAAGTCGATGAAATAGAAGAAGTCCGCGGGCGTCTCTTCATCTCGCTGCTGTCTGGAAGGAAGGAAGGAATCATGCCCTGGACTCAGACTTCAGTGATGAGCCTGCGGAGAGCTGGTATGCACGAACAGTGAGAGGAAAACCACGCTCTCAGGCTTCCTACATGCAGACCATGAACGGGCACCTCGGGACCAGCCCGAGGCTCCCTTGGCTTAGGAGAAGACATGCAAAGTAGGAGGAGCTAGGTTTTCTATAAATCATTGTCTCTCGGCGCCACCAGCACCAACTCTCCTGCTTAAGGACCTTTGGTGACAGTAGCTAATTCTTTAAAAGTTCAGCAGTTGGAGGGGAAGAAAGACACAAATTCTGCAGATGTAAACAGAAGAGAGAAAAGTTAGCAGAACCCGAGGTCACAGAGACCCCGATACCCAAGGACTAAACAAGGTGGGTGTGAACCAGGACTCGGCCATGGAAAGTGCCCTAGAGATGCAACATAGTGTGACAGGTTTGAAGAACAGGGAAGCTCTGGGCTTTAGGGAGATGTGGGAGCATTACATGAGACCATCTCCTCTGAGAAACTCCACTGGGTCATGAGACTAGATCCAACCAGAGGGCCGGGGGAGGCTGGTGCAGAGGGTATCAATTCAAACGCGTTTAACACCTAATGGGTTTCTGAAAAGCGCCAGCCTGCCTGAGTGTGGTGGGGCCAGCTGGGTGTGCACACTCAGGAAAGGGCCTTCTAATCATTAAGGGCATTGTGGTGTGATTACTGGCCTCAGGGTTGGCTTTGGTCGACACTAATAAATGTGGAAGAATGATGATCTTTGAATAATTTTATAATCTTGTGTGGCTCTGTGAGGAAAAGGGCTGCAAAAGCAATGTGAATGAAAATACACGTACTGCTGTGGAAAGCTGTAAATAAACAGCACTGGCAGTTGAAAGAGTGATGTGCATGTTGCCGAAAAAACACAAGCCAGAGCTGGAAACCACAGGGAGGCACTGCCAAAAGTAGAGATTCTATTTTAAAAGGTGCAGCCGCATTTACTGCCCCACCCTCCATACTTAGTCCCCACCCACTTCTCATTAGCATCACTGAACATCAGTCTCCCACACACCCTTCTTTAATTCTTGAACTCCACCCATGGAAAAAATATACTCTCTCAAATGCCTTTTAGGATTTTCTAAAACATCATTAACTCATGTTTGTGTGAGATAGTAACTTCAAATTAGAAAATTGTTTCTGCTTTGTACCAATGTTTCTTACATTTTAAGAGACACGAAGGCATTTCTCATTGTACATTGTATTAGATTACATTTTAAAAATATAATCTTTCATTACGCTCATAATTATTCAAAGATACATTTCATAGGTGCCTGTATTTGTGAGAGATGAGAGAGAGGGCACCTGGGCAGGGTGTGGTCACCCTGCAGTGCCCTTTTCTCTATTTCTCCATGGTATCAGGATTTTGCACACACGCATGTGCCTTGCGTGTTACTCAAGTTGCCAGATTTGGGATTCAAACAGTGGTCAGTTGTGTGGTATCCGGCTCCCTAGGCACAGTGCTTAACCACTGCACTATGGAGCTGAACTTCCAAAGGTAACTTTCTATTTTCCCTCTTTTGTAAGGAAAGAAAATACACTATTTGTTTTAAATTCTTGATAGCAAGGAAAGACAAACAAACAAAAAACCAAAATGCTTTGAGTTTTCAAGAAATATTTTTGTAAAGGATTATTTATATAACTTTTAAAACATTATTATTATTGTTGTTGTTATTGTTAAATTTGCTACAGGGCATGTGCACTCCACAAGAGAGAGAAAACGAGAGAAAAGCAAGAGAGAAAGTGAAAAAGCAAGCCACCAGGTCTGGGACTCAAACTGCAGTTGGCCATTTGGAAGTCCAGTGTCTTAACCACCATGCCACCTGCTGACCCAATAAATAAATTCTTAAATGATGGTATAATTGATTTGGGACTAAATTCATAAAAATGTAGACTAAACTTTGGGTTATAGCCTAAGAATAGGCAAAAAATGCTCTTATTGCTGAATGTTTAAAACTTTTGTAATATATTCGGGAGAAAAAAAACTTGATTAGTTTGAACAATTTTTGTATTTGCTTCTATGTGATCAGGCAGAATAAAGATTTTAGGCTGTCGCTTATTTTTTTGCAAAAGAAACACTTCAGGTTCAAACAGCTTTTTTTGTTCCTACTCATGGAAATTGAAGGTGGAGCTCATCCACTTCATTTTAGCTTCCAGTTTTTAAAAATTAGGGACATCTTTTTACATTTTTAAAAATTAATTCCATTTATTGTTATTATTATTTTAAAATTTTCTATAGGGGCACATGTGTTCACCAGCAAGAGAGAGTGAGAAAGTGAGAAAGCAAGTTGCCAAGTCTGGGACTTGAACTGCTGTCGGCCATGTGGGAGTCTAGCACCTCAACCACACCACTTGCTGGTGCCCCAAATTAGAGACATCTTAATGTGCCGTGTAAGAATTTTGCTCAGGGGACCAGCAGATGGCGTAATGGTTATGTCACTGGACTCTCACAAAGTCAACTGCAGTTCGAGTCCTGGTGACTTCAAACTCATGCTGGGCTTGTGTGTGTGTGCATGCCCAAAATCCCTAGAGGATTTTGCTCATTTCGCTAACAACGTCCCCGTTTCTCCATCAGCGTTCCTTCTGTCACCTCTCTCTTAATTGGCGCTCTCCTACGAGTGCATGTTAAACGTGCATGACTCCTAACGATACTTTAAAGCTCTAACAGCCAGAGTCTCGCTGGCTGCACATGTGCTGAGCCTAGCGTCACTGGAGTCGCGTGCGTGCTTGCGGAACCTCTGCTAATTGCCACGTGTGCTCACTGCTCTAGCTCTCGTTTCAAAGGAACACTATTTATTTTTAGTGCTCTATGTGCCTGAATATACAATGAGATCTCTCCCAAGGATGTCCTTCAGAAGAGTCTCTCTATATTCAAGTCCTTGCTTAGATTGTCAAGTGACAGGCCTCCTTCCAGTGATTTTATATTGATTGGGGCTGATTCCTTACCCTGAAATGACTTTACTCTGTGCTGGTTTTATTGTTTGATGAAACTGGTTCAAACAGGTTATTGCTGGTCAATATTTCTAAATCTATACGTCGTTTCATAGGATGGAACTTTTAAATCAATAAGGTAAATGTAAGCAGACATTTGGTTGTTTCATGAACATCTCTGAAAGATTATATATTGAAACTGACCAAACGGCTCGTTTTTGGGATTTTTACACAGGAAAAATGGGGGATCTCCTTTAATAACAGTCACGCTCCAGATCATCTGGGCCTTCAGATCACAAGGGTCACCCTAGAGCAGGTTCACTTGATTCCCTGACGGTGGGGTTTTTAAAGTTCCCCAAGTGAGGGAGCAGCAGTTAGCGTAATGACTGTGTCGCTGGACTCCCATGTAGTCGACTGCGGTTCATGTCCCGGACCCGGTGGCTTAAAACTCATGCTGGGCGTGTGTGCGTGCATGCCCAAGATCCTGAGAGGAGAATGGAGAAGGGATTGCGGCATGGACATCCCCTCTGGGGGGTGATGTTTCGCTTTCTCTCTCTCTGTCTCTCTCTGTCTGTCTGGTGAGCGCATGCGCCCTATAGCAAAAACCTCTCCAAAAAAAGAAAAACACAAGTTCCCCAAGTGAATCTGACATGCAGCTGATCTTCTAATCAGATCCCACTGGGAGAGAGTGCATTCTGGAGGGAACCATGACTTGGGTAATGGAGTCCCTGTTAGGGCCATATTCTCTGATGCAAGTGGTCTCCAGGAAGAACATTCCCCCGAGTTACTGGGGCCCTACTGTGGGGACCCCCCCCCCCCACCTGTGGGCTGCAGAACCTTTGGGAGCCTGGAACCCACACGTGTGCCCACTTCTATCCATAGATCGAATGCCTGTTTGCACTCCTGTACGTGTTCTGCAAAGTTCTAAAGAACTTTATGAGTAAAACATAAACGAATGTAGTTGACATGCTAGGAGGCTATCTTCATTGTCTAGTTTTTCAATGGAAACAAGTATTGTCATGTAGAGGCCTGTAATGTCAAAGAGATAATGCTAGTCCTGGAGGAAAAAAAAAGGGGGGATCAATGACAGTGGTGGAGTTGAATTTAGTGACCCAGCTGCATGGGATTGATTCCTGGGTCCACCGTGCTAGCTGGGGATGGGAGTGAGTTGGCTTCCTGCAGCCTCAGTGTTTGCATCGATAAATCTGACAATGAGTACCTGGCTCATGAGGTTGTTGATGACCCAAAGACACAATTTTATTTGTAGTGTAGATGCTAGCATGGGGCTGGTAAAGATTGGCTTTTACTATTTATTGTTATTATTGTTATTGTTACTTACTATTGAGGTAGGAGTTGGTCTTGGGATGTATTGTTAGGGTAGAAGGCCCAAGATGGAGACACAGTAAGCTTTACCCAAGATGGAGTCATAGTGGCTAAGTTTTCACTAAAGAGCTGGCTACATTAGAGATGAAAAAACCTGTAGCTAAGTGCAACTGTTTCTATTTACTGACTACATTCTAACAAGAAGTATAGATCAATATGGTTTGCTGACTCTCCAAAGAATGGGGAAATAAATCATCCAGATGGGCCCAGCAGGTGGCATAGTGGTTACGGTGCTGGACTCTCACAGGGTTGACCATGGTCTGAGTCCTGAACCAGGTGGCACGAGTGAGTGCATGCCCCGAATCTCAGGAGGAGAAGGGATATGGCATGGCTGTCACTCTTGGGAGTGATTTCTCTCTCACTTTTCCTCTCACTGCCTCTCTTTGGTAAGTGCATGTGTCCTATAGCAAAAACCTTAAAAAAAAAATCACCCAGACTGCTGCGTAACTATTTTCTGAACCTCACTTCCTTAGAGAACCAGCCTGTTGATGTTAGATAAACACCCCTCGCTTCAGCTCCTCTTTGGCAGCCCTTTTCTGGACCGCTCCCTGCTTTTGGAGCTTTGCTCTCCTTCAGTAATCATTGTTTTGCTGCTTCTCCATTTGCCAGCATCTCCGATTCTTCCTGAGTGAGCATGAGGTAAGAGCCTGGGCATCTTGCAGTTCTGAGTCAGGCCCTGGGGTTGGGCCTGCTCACCTTGGCATCCCATGTCACTAACACCAAAACCAAAGAGGGTCTCCAAATGACTGTTGGAAGATTTTATGACTTTTTGGGCAAAACTCCTCCAGGGTTGGACGTGGCAGCGAGGAAGGCAGTCACTTACCTCATGGGCTTGAACATGGCCTTCCCGAAGTCTGAGAACCTCAGCACCAGCTTGAGGTGGACCCCGCTGGGTTTCACGACTGTGAAGGGTAAGAGGGTGAGTTAATGATACTTCTGGGCCTAAGTGCAGGCTGTGGCTCTCTGTCCACTCAGTACATCCAGACGATTTCTTCTCTTTTTTATCTACTAAGACCATGAGACAGAATGTGCTTTTGGAAACTGCAGGTAAACTCCACTGTGTCAGGCCAGGGGGAAGTGCCCAGGGCTCCAGGTATGGCTTTTCTGCAGGTGTGGGGAAGTGGCAAACAGCACAGGTTTCCAGCTAGATGCTGACTGATAGCCCCAAAGGATGTCTTCCTAAGAAGGTCTGGCTCGGGAGCCAGCAGATGGCATAGCAGTTAAGGCACTGAACTTTCCACACAACTGACTACGGTTCAAGTCCTGGACCAGGTAGCTTTAAACTCACACCGGGCATGTGTGTGTGTGTCCCTAAAATCCCAAGGGGAGAATGAAGGTGACAGGATTGTGGTGTGGCCATCCCTCCTGGGGGTGCTTTCTCACTTTCCCTCTCTCAATCTCTCTGTGTCTCCAGTGAGTGCACACACCCTATAGCAAAAACAAACCAACAAGGGACCAGCAGGTGGTATGGTGGTTAAGGCACTGGCCACTCCCACATGGCCGACCATGGTTTAAGTCCTGGACCGGGTGGCTTGCTTTCCCACTTTCTCACTTTCTCACCCTTTCTCTCTGTCCCTCTCTGGTCAAAATAAAATAAATGAATGAATAAATAAAATTAAATAATTTTAAAAACAAACAAACAAACAAACAAACAAAACCTCTAAAAACCAAACACTCCAAGAAGGGCTGGTTCCTTCCTCTTGGCCTGTCCCAGCCTTACTGTGAGCCTCATCAGGGTTGAGGCAATGCCCTGCTCACTTCATGTTCTGTAAAATGGCAAAGGCAGGCACTCAACTAAAGAAAATGGAAGCCTGGGACCACACCAACCTTTGTCTTTCAAATATGTGACATGTCATGTTGTCTGTGGAAATTTCGGATGAGTGCTTGGCACATTGAGGTAAAAGCACGTGGCTACTCCTGGCCAGTGTTGACTAACGTGACAGCTTCTGTGTCCAGGCCACCAGGACACGGTTCTCACCGGTTCCCACCACCCATGAGGGGGCTCTCTGCTCTCACAACGTCTCTGAGGTCAGCATTCACCCCAGTGGGTTTCTTAAGTCGCCTATTACAGAATTACCTGGAGCATTTACAAAGTGCCGATGCCTGGTCTCCTGCTCTGTGATTGAATCAAGTCTCCTTGGGCCGGCTCTGTGGTCTGGTGGCTAAGGCAGTCGTATCCCACATGGCCAACCAGGGGGTTCCAGTCCCGGACCTGGTAGCTTGAGAAACATGCCAGGTGCATGTGTGCCCGAAATCTCTAAAGGAGGGAGACATGGAGAAGGGATCGTGGCATAACCATGCCCCATGGTGGGGTGGGCTTGGGGGGCTCTCTCCTCTCTCATTCTCTCTGGACAAGTCCATGTGCTCTCTAGTGAAAAATAAAGCAAAAAAGTCCTGGACATGGGAGGCCGGACAGCAACACTTTTAAAGCTCTCCACGTGATTTTAACACGTTGCCAGCAATGAAAACCACTGTCTCGTACGATTGCTTCTTAAATTAGAAAAATGGTACTCCAAGCATTTGATTATCTTATAAAAATCCAGATTCTGATTTGGTAAATCACAGTGGACACTGAGATTCTGCATTTTTAAGAAATTATTATTATTTTATTTTATTTTATTGTTTTTAGAGAGAATTTTTTTGCTATAGGACATGTGTGCTTGCTGAAGAGACAGAGACAGAGAGATGGAAAGTGAGAAATCACCCCCTGGGGGGATGGCCATGCCACAATCCCTTCTCCTCCATTCTCCTCTCAGGATTTTGGGCACACACACACACACACACACACACACGCGCGCGCGTGCGCGTGCACGCCTGGTGTTAGTTTTAAGCTGCCAGGTTCGGGACTCGAACTGCAGTCCACTACATGGGAGTCTAGTGATGTAACCGTCATGCCATCTGCTGGTCCTGAGATTCCGCATTTCTAACAAGCTCCCCAGGGATGCCAATTATCCTGGGACCACATTTTGACTGTTGGGGATCCAAAACCAGCATTCCTCCTAAATGGCTTTTCTTTCTGGGTGGGTGGGGAGAAATGTTGACTACCCACAGATTTGGCAGAAGGAGCTGTGCATCTTCAACTCACAGCCCAGCCCTCACCAGAGTGGTTGTTGGGGTGCACAGGAGTGTGACAGTGAGAGAGCTGGATGCCAGCAGGGCTGCTCACTTACTCTGGCTGCAGTCACATGCCCCAAGCAAGGCTTTCTCGTCCTGACTGTAATCTGCAGAGGAAGAGAAGGCAGTGAGAACTTCCAGCCATGTTTTGGGGAGAGCCCACCATATGGGGTCCTCTGCTGTGCTTCAGACCACCAGGTGGGGTAGCCAAGGCCCTTGGCCATTCTACAGGGGATTTCTTGGACCCATAGGGAGTGGTAACCTCCACCCTGCTCCATCCCAGGCCCCATGCCCTTTAGCCTTTTAGTGGATACTCCAGCAACACCTGGCTGGGAGCTGGCATCTAGCTTTGTCTCTGCTAAGAATTGACCATGTCACTTAGGCTGTCGCAGTGCTTGAGGACACAGTCTTGGCTCAGCAGGTCTGCGTTAAGTAACTCGGCCAACTGTAGTTATCTGTAAAATGGCAAGGATGATGTCCGTGCCATGACATCTTTGCATAACAGAGAGTGTGTTGCCTGACTCAAGAAAAGTACTCAGTGGACAGTGGGGTCCACCTTTCTTTAAGTGTAAAGAAGACCTCCTTATGTCTCTGGTATGGGGTCGTGATGGGATTATGGGCTAACATTTCTTTCCAAGAGAAAAAGATCAATGTCTCCATCTTCTTCTCATTCTACTGGGAGTCAGCTTGAGCCCTTTAACACCCCGCCTCGGAAGCTGGCCTGAGACCACCTGCCCAGGCTCTCTGCGAGAAAACTCCATTCTGCCCGATCCCGGATCCTTACCAGCACTGATGGTGGGAAAGTGTCTCATGTCATGGAGGAGTTTGCTGACGACAGGACTGGCCCGGGAGTACAGCCCGTGGCGTGTGATACCCAGGTGGAACTGGACCCAGCTGGCCTCGAGTCGGAGCTGCAGCGGGGGGTCCAGGGAAGTGAGGTTCATCTGCTCTTTGTATAGCTTCTGTCGTCTGAAAGAGCAGAAGAGTTTTATTATTATTATTATTATTATTCCATCGGAGTGACAAGAATACAAAGACCTGTCAAGTACCTTGTTGGCATGCTCCATTCAGTCTTTCATTTACTTACCAACTGTCATAAGCATGTGTGCTGGTCTGTATTCTGTGCTTAGAATACCATAGGAACAGGACGGCTGTGGGTCAGGATTCGAACTGCAGTCAGTTATGTGGGAGCTCGCTCCCTTAACCACTGTAGCATAGGGCTGGCCTGGTAGAGTGTTAAACATTGGGCCAGCAGGTGGCGTTGGCGTGGAGGTTAAGGTGCTGGATCCCACATGACCAGCTGTGCCCTTTGAGTCCCAGACCCAGAGGCTTGAAAATCATGTCAGGCGCATGTGCATGCATACCCAAAATTCTGAGAGGAGAATGGAGGAGAAGGGATTGTGGCATGGCCATTCTCCTGAGTGGGGTGGGTGGTGATTCCTCATGTTCTTTCTCTTCCTCTCTCTCTCTCAGGCCAGCACACACACATATAGCAAAAACTATAACAATAAAGAGTGTTAAACATTATTTTTGTATTAAAGTAAATATAGAAATACTATGTTCATAAATATACAGTCATTTTTAATATAAAACCCTGGTTTTCAAAGAAAATTTCACTTGGTTGCCTCTGGCTCACAAGTTGACAGGGTTCTCTCTGCACTGCTCCACTGGAAGAGTTTGAGAAGCACTAAAATGTTGGCATGAGTCGCTGAGTTCTAGCCTAGTTGGATGAGTGGGTGTCTGCTCTCACTACTCACCCCTGTGTGAATACGGTAAAATAATAGAGCTGTCCTTCTTCGGGGTCTCCCATCTAGGGTGAAAATTGGTCTGCTTGAGGAAGAGGCTCAGTTTCATAACTTGAGAAGAAATGGATGCCTAGGAGCTTTTTGTCCCGGCCTCCTCTGTACTTGTTCCCAGGCTCTTGTGACCTCTGGGCACTCCTACTTTTGGAAACTTTTAGCTCATGTCATATCAAACTTAGGAAAATTTACCACACTTAAAATGATTTTTTGCTATAATTTTTTAAACATTTTTTCCTATTTCAAGTCCTGTTAAGAATAAAGTATCTTGGAGGCTGGCAGGTGGTGTGGTGGTTAAGGGCTCTGGACTCCCAGATGGCTGACCGTGGTTTGAGTCCCAGACCCGGCAGCTTGCTTTTTCTCTCTCACTCTATCTCTCTCTGGTCAAATTAAAATAAATAAATAAATGGACAAATAAAGTTAAGTTAAATAAAATAATTTTTTTTTTTTTTGGAGAGAGATTTTCGCTATAGGGTGCATGCACTCGCTAGACAGAGACAGAAAGCGAGAAATCACCCCCCAGGGGGGATGGTCACGCTGCAATCCCTTCTCCTCCATTCTCCTCTCGGGATCTTGGGCACGCACACACACGCGCTTGGCGTGAGTTTTAAGCCACCAGGTCCGGGACGCAAACCGTGGTTGACTACGTGGGAGTCCAGCGACATAGCCATTATGCTAACTGCTGCTTCCCAATAATTCTTTTTTTAAGAATTATTTTATTTAACTTTATTTATTTATTATTATTATTTTCCAGTTTGATCAGAAAGAGACAGAGAGAGAGAGAGGAAGTGAGAAAGCAAGCCATCAGGTCTGAGACCTGAACCATGGCTGGCCATGTGGGAGTCCAGTGCCTTTAACCACCATGCCACTTGCCAGCCCCAAAATAAAATAATTCTTTAAAAAAAAAAGTATTTTGGGCCAGCAGGTGGCTTGGTGATTAAGGCGCTGGACTTCCACATGGCCGACCATGGTTCGTGCCCTGGACCTGGTGGCTTGCTTTCTCATTCTCTAATTCTCTCTGGTGAGCTAATGTGCTGTCTAGCAAATTTTAAAATAATGATAATAAATAAAATTAAAAAGTATATATATATATATTTTTCCCCAAAGAGTGCATGTGTTTGGTAGAAGGAAAGCAAGAAATCACCCCCTCCCTCCCACACCATAGTCCCTTCTCCATTCTCTTCTTGGGATTTTGAGCATGCAAGCACATGTGCTTGGTATGATTTTCAGGCTGCTGGGTCCAGGACTCGAGCCATGGTCAGTCGTGCAGGAGTCCAGCACCTCCTGCATGAGGTGCTATGACACCTGCTAGTCCCAATGAATAATTATTTCTTTAAAAGATAATTAAATATTTCAACAAAAAATTACAAATAAAAGTAGAATAAAGTATCTCGTAATATAACTGTGTGAGTTAACAGTTTTCTTGTTATTTTGTAAACATTTAATTATATATTAATTCATTTTGATTTTGGTGTTTTTAATCCATCATCTTTGTTCAAGTCTTGAAGTGTTTTTAAGAACTGTTGTGCATCTGTTAGATACTGTCTCTATACAGAGCTGACGCGAAGAGGATCCTGACTTGCTGTTGTAACTGCTCAGGCTTTCAGAACAGATTATCACACACTGGGTGGCTTAAACAGCAGAAATGCATTTCTCAAGTCCAAGATGGAGGTGTTGGCAGGCATGGTTTCTCCTGAGGGCTTTCTCCTGGGCTTGCAGGTGGCTGTCTTCTTGTTGTGCCCTTTCATGGCCTTTCTCTCTTTGTGTGTGTGCTTCCCTGGTGTCTTTTCCTCTGTTACTAGTTGTAATAGATTCATGCTCCACTCCCATAACCCCATTTAACCTCAATTCCTTCTTTTTTTATTTATTATTTTTTTAGAGAGATTTTTGCTAGAGGGTGTATGCGCTTACCAGAGAGACAGAGACAGAGAGGCATAAAATGAGAAATCATCCCCCAGGGGGGATGGCCATGTCACGATCCCTTCTTCTCCATTCTCCTCTCAGGATCTCTGGCACACACACGCATGCACCCGGGGTGAGTTTTAAACTGCTGGGTCTGGGACTCAAACTGTAGTCAATTATGTGAGAGTTCAGCAACATAACCATTACGCCATCTGCCGGTCCCTCAATTACCTCTTTAAAAGCCCTGTCTCCAAATACATCATATTTGGGATTAGAGCTTCAACACATGACTTTGGGAAGGGCACAGTTTAGTCTGAAACATCTCTCACTCATAATCATTGCTTCTGATCACCAGCGAGGCCCTCCTCGGGCACCATTTGCTATAGTTTGGATATGTCCCACCAGAATTCACATGTTAAGTCATTATAATAGGATGAAAAGGTGGAAACTTGATTTGTTATGGTGTTGAGAGGTGGGGCCTTTGAGTGTGATAAAGTCACTAGGGTGGGTCCCCAGGATTGAGTTCTGTGTATATGCAAGGAGCAGAAATGAGGCAGCTGGAGCACACAGGGCTACAGACTAGAACTGCTCTGCTCTGCTCAAGCGCCTGTCCTCCGCCATGTTGGCACCTCACCAGAAAGTGGACCCTGGACCTCCACACTGTGGAGGTGAATAAACTTCCACTCCTTTATAGACCATCTAGTCTTGGGTATTTGTGTTAGCAACACATTAGTGGACTAGACAACATGTCAGGGAATTAGAAAATTGGCAGGATAGTAAAGCAACTGTACAGAGTGAAACTTCTCATCTGGGCACATTCCCACTTCAGGCCCTGATTAGATTCTTCTCTGCTGGGCAGGGCTGCCTGCTCTCATTCTTTCATCAGCTTTTCTAGGGAAGTGGGGAAATATTTCCCAGCAAAATGTGTCTTGGTAGTTCAGGCTGCTGTAACAAAATACCATTGGCTTAAACAACAGACATTTTCCCCCAGTTCTGGAGGCTGGTAGTCCAAGATCAAGGTGTTAGCTGTTTTTTTTCCCCTGTTGAGAGCTCTCTTTCTGGCTTTCAGATGGCTGACTGCCTTCTCACTGAGTCCTCACCAGGCATGTGGTGAACTCTGGTCTCTTCCTCTTCTAAGAGGGACACTAATCTCATGGGGGCTCGACCCTCATGACCTCATTTAGATCTAATTAAATCTCAAGGGTCTCGGCTCCAAATACTGTGTGAGTCAAACAATAACGACAATATCAGTTCTCAGGCAGTTCGTTTTCTGCCCAGTGCTGTTACAACAAATGCAGATGTGAAGACCTGAGCTATGCCCATGGGAGGCCATATTGAGGACACCCTCCCCCACAGGGGAACTGTATAAACAGAGGAGACAAGGCAAGGCAAAGGGACACTATTACTTGAAGAGTTTTCTCTCCCAAGTGCACTAGAAAGATGGCTGGGACTTCTCTTCCCAGACAACGAGTTGTTGGTTAACCTTCCAGCATGAGGTAGGGGAAGTAAACTGGAGCTTACTGGTCCCCTGTAGGTGGATAGCCCATGAGGCCAGACTCCCCCTCCCACCCAGGAGAAGGAGCAATGTGTAGTGTTAGAGTACAATTATTTAAAGTGACACACGTTAAACTGCTTCAAATCTAGCATTTTATGACAGTCATGGGAAAGGACAAATTGGTGACCAGATCTGTAGGTCTCCAGCCAGTTTTTCCTTACTTTATTAAGATTTATTTTTATTTTTAAAAATAGTTTGGCCTGGCTATAGTTCCCAGGGTTACTTTAAAACCAAAGCTATGTGACTACTAAACTCTCGTGGGAGTCTGCTGGAAAGGGTGGAAAGTACTGGGCTAAGTCACCCTGGGCTGAGCCAGAGCAGCCCAGCATCTGAGTTAGAGGAAAGAAGCAACTCTTCCGGCTGAGCTGGCTTCTGGGGGACATGAGGAGGATGTGGAGTTGATGGATAACTAGTGGGTTCCAGCTACAACCACCAGTGGTACAGCATCCAAACTGGGTGTAACTTCTGGACTAGGTCAAATAGCTCCTTACAAAGTTTACACTTACTGGTAGGTAGGCAGGGACTCCTGGCTTTCTGGTTTGTTTTCTGCTTTTGTCAGGGTCACAATCCTCCTGAATTAAAGGTATGGAGGGAGAAGAAAGGGTATCACTATGTCTTTCTGTCCTTCCCATTTTTTTTCTTTTTTGGACTTAATCTCTTTTTTTGCACAGAAATACCTGACACTGGGTGAATTGAAGAGACTAGTGGTTTAT